TCTCTCTCTCTCTCTCTCTCTCTCTCTCTCTCACACACACACACACACACTTCTACTACCTCCCTAATTTCTCAAGAGTCACATCTAAGATATTTTTCTCAATATTAAATTTTAGTTTGGAAAGCAGGATGAGTTTTCCCTACATCACTCTATTCCCATATCACCCATTTGGGAACAATTAAGAAAATCATCAGCTACAAGTATCACGGGCTTTTCAGAATCCTTGAGTCCTAGAACTAATTTCTCTGGACCATGGGATTAGATGAGATGAGAATAGTTTGGGGAGAACATGGGGAGGAAACCAGATGAGTGGAAAGCACTGAAGGTTTGTGAGAGACGGGAAGTGGGGACAATAGAGGTTTGGTTTAGTTCCTTTGGGTTTTCCAGCCCTCCCTCCACCCACTAGGAACCTCATCCCACAAGAGAAAGGCAAGACACCAAAAGAGGCCTGAGGTATCAACTACTTTATTATTTTGCAAGGACAGGTCCAGGGCCCAGCCCCAGGGCCCAGGGCTCTGCTACTCTCGGTGGATATCTTCATGGGTTGCCACACCCACCTTTATCACCAGTATGAGGAACTCTTCAAAGTTAATTGCATCATCACTATTGACATCCAACTCTTTGAACCAGGTGTCTGCATCCTTTTTCTTCATGTACCGAGGACACTCTGTCTCTAACAATTTCTTCAAATCATCCCTGTAGAGGGCATGGTAATTCCCCTTCTCCAAGGAGTATTTGTGGTAAACGTCAATGAGGGAGTTTATAGCAGTCTCCAGTTCCGTCAGCATGATGCCCAAGGATCTGCCCCACCTGGAACACAGAACCCATGGGGAATCCCAGGGTGGGGAGGGTGCCTCTGTCTCCAGCAGAGTGAAGACTAGGGGGACACTCATTACCCCCAGCTGATGGCTTTGTCCTGGTCTGCACCATTTAGGTAACCCAGTAGATGGCTGTGCTGATGGGAAGGAAAGGCTGTGGGAGGGGGAGGGTCCACACACAGTGCCTGCCAGCTCTCCCTGTGCCCTCACCCAACCAAGAGTGCCAGAGGACTGTTCCGTCTCTATCCCTATCTCACCAACTTCCTCCAGGAGCTCTGGATCGAGCTCCAGACCTCCCTGATATTTCTCTCCCCTCTCATAGAAAAGGCAGCTCCACTTCCAGCCCTCTCTCCTGTGGGGGCCCAGCCTCAAAGCATGGAGCCAACCGAGGCAGTCCTACTTACCAGGTCTCCCTGAAACAGAGTTGACAGAAGACATGCAGGGCTGAGTGTCAGCTCCCTTTTATAGAAGCCAGGCTTTGGCCAGCTGCCAGGGCCATGCAGAGGCAGCTGCTCCCTTCCTGGGTTGCCACAGCCTCTTGTTTCCCAATCAGGTAAATGGGGCAATCACTGCACAGAATGAAAGTTTCTGATGAGAGGTGGAGGTGGGGGAGGTGGGTAGTGGAAAGAGGAAGGCACTTGCTAGGCACTAGTGCCCAGCAGGAGAAACCAGAAGAGGCCATGGTGAGGACTCCTTTGGTGGGCCCCTGGTATCCTCTGGCTTGGCCAACCAGGATGCCCACTCCTGAGTCCCCCTCACTGTTGCTGCTGCTAATCTTGTGCATTGTGGCCTGTCTGTGCATCTCTGAAATATAATTGGAGCTGAAAGCATAATTTTGAGTGTTTGCATCAATAAGCACATTTCTCCATGGCTTTCATCAGATTCTTGAAAGGGCCCAAGACCCCTAAGAGGTTAAGAACACTTGTCTTAGCTGCTGGATTTTAGCAGTGAAGGCTGGACTGTTTCTATGATTGCTGCTGTTTGTGCGCGGTTGGATGTGCGCTGCTCTCTCAAGCTCTCTCCAGCTGCCCACAGCCCTTCCAAGCTCTCTTGCTCTGGGAGCTGAGGGTGCACTGTGCTCTGGGACACGGAGGCTGGCTTGGGGTCCCTCTGCATGTGGGAGGCACTGAGTCGCTTCATAAACAGAGCAGGGACCCTTCAGCCCTCTCTGGGGTGATTGTGTGTCTCTGACCCCAGCAGCCTGGGCTGAAGAGGAACCCAACTCTGTGGGGGTCAGGTGGGGGAGAAGAGATTCTTTGAGAAGCCAGAAGACCTTTGTGTCCAAGGGGAGAAGAGAAGGTGGCCAATTCCCCCAGGATTTCAGGAGGAACAACACCCCCCTTCCACAACAAGATGCCACTCAGATTAACTGGCTTCCAACACTGAAGATTCGTGGTACATCTCTCTTGTTACAAAACACAAAGCACAAAGAGCCTTGGAAAATGCCTATCAGGAAGGTGGTGCACACAACCCACCCAGTCTACAAACACGGAAGTAGACGGCCAAGAAGGTGAGGCAGTTCACTCAGAGTTTCCCAGTGCAGAAATGTCATGGCCCAGAGAATCATGCACCAGAACATGACCTGACAAGAACATGACTCTGCTAAGAAATCTCTCTGCTTCCTTCATGCATTCAACAGATATTTACATTGTGCCTCTCCAGGTCATCATCACCTCCTGGGGGAAGTAGATGAGATTAGCACCCTCTCCTTCATATTTCCATACCTCTTTGGGCTCCATTATATTGTTAACTTTATAGCTGTGTGACTTTGGGTTAATTACACTCTCTGTGACTTAGTTACCTCAATTATTAGGAAGAGATTAAAAATAGAGTCTACCTGCAGCCTATGGAATGGGGGAAAATATTTGCAAATCATTTATCTGACAAGGGGTTAATATCCAAAACATCTAAAGAACTTCTACAATTCAACAACAAAATTACCCTGATTGAAAGATGGGCAAAGGACTAGAAGACATTTCTCCAAGGAAGATATACAAAGCCACAATGAGGTACCACCTCAGACCCAAGTGATAGTGAGGGTGTGGAGAATTTGAGACCCTTGTGCACTGTTGGTGGGAATGTAAAATAGTGCAGCTGCTGTGGAGAACAGTGCGATGGCTCCTCAAAAAGTTAAAGACAGAATTACTACGTGATCCAGTAATTCCACTTCTGGGTCTATACCCAAAATAATTGAAAATAGATATTTATACACCCATGATCACAGCAGCATTATTTACAATTGCCAAAAAGTAGAAACAAGCCGGTGTCCATCCAAGGATGAGCGAATAAATAAAATGTAGTATATACTTAAAATGGAGTATTATCAGCCTTTAAAAAGGAAGGTAATTCTCACACATGCTACAACATGGATGAACCTTGGAGACGTGATGCTGCATGAAATAGACCAGACACAAAAAGACAAATGCTGTTTGATTCCACTTATATGAGGTCTCTAGAGTAGTCAAATTCATAGAGACAGAAAACAGAATGGTGGCTGCCAGGGCCTCAGGGAGGAATAATGAAGAGTTAGCGTTTATTGGGTTAGGGTTTCAGCTGCAATATAAAAAGAGTCAGGGGCACCTAGGTGTCTCAGTCAGTTAAGTGTTCAACTCCTGATTTCAGTTCAGGTCATGTTCTCACAGTTTGTGGGTTCAAGCCCCACATTGGACTCCGTGCTGACAGTGTGGAGCCTGCTTGGGATTCTCTCTCCATCTCTCTCTTCCTCTCTCGTGCTGGTTCTCTCTCTCTCTCTCTCTCAAATAAATAAATAAATAAACTTTTTAAAAAGACAGAGTTCTGAAGATTGGTTGCACAACAATGAGCACATATTTAACACAACTGAACAATACACATAGATGGTAAATTGTATATATATATATATATATAGCCACAATTAAAAACTTAAAAATTTTTAAATGCTTCCGCCTAAAAAATTAATAAAATCTACCTTATAGTGTTGTGAGGACTAATAACAAATGAAAAATATTTATGATTTGCAGACTTTTTAAAGTTTATTTATTTATTTTGAGAGATAGAGAGAAAGAAAGCAGGAGCAGGGGAGGGGCAGAGAGAGAGAGGGAGAGAGAGAATCCCATGCATGCTCTGTGCTGTTAGCACAGAGCCCAACGCCAGGCTCAAACTCCCAAACCGTGAGATCATGACCTGAGCCAAAATCAAGAGTCAAACGTTCATTGGCTGAGCCACCCAGGCGCCCCTGTGGACTTTGTTAATATGTATTATATTTTAATAAACAGTTTACACAAAGGATGTTTGACATACTTAGCGCACTGCAGAGCTAGCACTGGGTGGGTACCCACTGTGACGACTGCTCTCACGAGTGCCTGACTTCTCAGCTGGGCTGTGAGCCCTCAAGGACCCAGAATGAACCATCCATCTCTGCCTCCATAGGACCCAGCACAGGGACTGGAATACATACTAACAGCAAACAATCAATAATAAGAACAAATAATAGCAAAAAAAACATTTATTGGGCTGTTACCACGTGCCAGGAACTGTTGTACGTGCTTTACCTACATCAATCCATTTCTCACTATAAACTGTGAAGTTTGTACTGTCATAATCCCCATGCTACAGATGAGGACCTGAGGCCCACTGAGAGATACAACATTCAGTGCATCGGATTACTTGGGTGACATGATGTGACATCATGCACTTCCTGCCTCTGCCTGGAATGCTCTTTGCCAGTCAAGTCCTTCTTTTTCTTCCTGATCCAGCCAGGCACTGTGTGCTCTGCATCTGTTTCTGACCCTCCTCCCCACACCCCTACCAACACTGAGTTAATTCTTCTCTCCTCCATGCTACCCAAATCTTCATACATCATGGCATTTTCCCCACTGTGTTATGACTCATCTGTTTCTTTTCTGTCTTTTCTTTGGGACCAGGATCCCCTTTGAGCAGAAATCACATACATCCCTGGGGCCTGGTACAAACTAGGTGCTCAACTAATACTTATTGAGGTGATAAGCGAATGCACAATTGAACTTTGATCTATCCCTTATATGATGCTGAAATTCCCTTTATCACATCCCACCAGCTTAAATCACTTTTGTAACATGGCAGAATATAAATACATCAACCAAATGCAATATAACTTCCTTGGCAAGAGGTTAGTCAACCTTGTGACAGAAAAATAGAGCTGTTTCTGACACATATAATGACAACTTTTCAATCAATGATCAAGCACTTATCTATACTTGTTCACCAAGCCTCTCCTATATGGCCTGGCATAATAGCACCTTACTTACCCCAAATAGCACAATATATTTTCAAAGTATTTTTATATCACTGCCTCATTTGATAACCCTGCAAAGTGGACGTTACAGGTACAATTATCCCTATGTGACAGATGAGGAAACTGAGGCACAGGGAGTTACTCAAGTTTCTTCCTATGGACATGTGTTCTTTTTTTTTTTTTTAAATTTTTTTTTCAACATTTATTTATTTTTGGGACAGAGAGAGACAGAGCATGAACGGGGGAGGGGCAGAGAGAGAGGGAGACACAGAATCGGAAACAGGCTCCAGGCTCTGAGCCATCAGCCCAGAGCCTGACGCGGGGCTCGAACTCACGGACCGCGAGATCGTGACCTGGCTGAAGTCGGACGCTCAACCGACTGCGCCACCCAGGCGCCCCGCATGTGTTCTGCTTATGTGCCAAAAAGCACACATTAGAACAAAAAAAAGTGGCTTTTCTGAGACTCTTCTTAGGATCCATTCACAAGCCTGGAATGGAGCTCACACTGACCTCTCCCAGTGGAGGTGAGGGTGAGGCTGATGATGTCATCCCAGGCCCCTGCACCCTGAAGAGATGCCTCCCTTGAAGCCAGTCCCAGTGGAGACAGCTTTCTTCACCCAGGAATTAGGAAAACCAGGCCCCAGGTCCAGTGGGGGACACCCAAGGCAGACGTGAGCCATGACCCCCTTCTGGCATCATGTGCTTGTCCGGGGAGCTTGCACCAGTCAGGCCATGAAACTGCCCTTGAGATGCTCCCCAGCCCCCGGACAGACAGCCTAAGGAGCTTCATGGGGAACAGGAGCCAGGCTGAGTGACCTGGCAGGAGGGGTGTCAAGAATTGGGTAAGCACATCAGGGGAAAAGGCAGGGCCTGTAATCAGACCGACGGATGTGGGGCAACCCAGGGGAGCGGAACCTGCTCCTACTTACAGGAAAGAACTAGGTCCTAGGTATGTGTCCCAAGAGTCCAACCAGGCCTGGGCCCAAGGCTGAGGAAATGAGGCCACACCAGCAGAGCCAGTGCAGAAACACCTCTCCACACCCCAGGAAAGGGCAGGAGGTCTAGGCTGAGCTGCCCCTTAGCACCCAAAGATCTGTGGAACTCAGCAGTCTCAGATGAGACAGGCAGGAAGAATCATCCCCTGGGCCTGGAGGAGGTTGGTAG